TACACATCCTCCATTTCCCATTTTTTTTTTTGACTAACACGGGGTTAGCCAACCACACTGGGTGAGACACTTCCTTGATGAACCCGGCCGCCAAGAGTCTCTGCACCTCCTCTCCAATGGCCTGCGCTTTTCTTCGTCGAAGCGGCGCTTGAGCGTTGCCCTCGCCGGTCTAGATCCGCCCGGATGTCTAGGGCGTGCTCGGCGACCTCCCTTGGTATGCCCGGCATGTCCGAGGGACTCCATGCGAATATGGCGGCATTCATACGGAGAAAGTCGACGAAAGCACGGCTTCCTATTTGATGTCGAGGGTGGCGCTGATCCTCGGCGCTTTCGATCGTCGGGCGGCGGGTCGACCGGGATGAGTTTGATAGTTTCGGTGGGCTCGAACGCCCGTGCGGCGGCGCTTTGAGTCGTGCACCTCGCCACCGAGTTGGTCGAGGTGGGCGATGAGGGTCTCGGCCTCTGCAAGATCCTCGGCGTACTCGATGCATTCGACGTCGCAGTCTTTGCATGTTCGTACGTGGACTCAATTGTGATGACACCGCTAGGGCCTGGCATCTTGAGCTTGAGGTAGGTATAGTTGGGCACTGCCATGAACTTGGCGTAGCACGGCCGCCCCAGGATGGCGTGGTAGGCTCCCCCGAACCCGACTACCTCGAAGGTGAGGACTTCCTTGCGGTAGTTGGAGGGGGTGCCAAAGCAGACGGGAAGGTCGATGCGCCCGAGGGGTCGCGTGCGCTTCCCTAGCACGATGCCGTGGAAGGGTGCGACATCGCCTCGGAGCCTCGACCGGTCGATCTCCAAGAGTTCCAGGGTGTTGGCGTAGAGGATGTTGAGGCCGCTGCCTCCGTCCATCAACACCTTGGAAAGTCGGGTGTTGCCGATGATCGGGTCGACAACCAGTGGGTACTACCCGGGATTCAGAACATGGTCAGGGTGGTCATCTCGATCGAAGGTGATCGCCTCTCAAGACCAATCAAGGTACTGGGGGGTGGCTACCTTGACCGAGAAGACTTCTCGGCGTTCCCTCTTGCGCTGCCGCGCCGTAAGGCATGCCGAGGGCCCGCCGAAGATCATGAAGGCGTTGCGTACTTCGGGGAACCCGTCGTCCTTGTCCTCGTCCCGGTCGCCGGCGCCCTTCTGCTTGGCGTCGTCGTCGGGGAGCCCGAGCCTGGCGTAGTAACGTCGCAGCATGGAGCAATCCTCGAGGGCGTGCTTGACCGGGCCTTGGTGATAAGGGCATGGTTTCTTGAGCATGTCGTCGAAAGGCCTAGGGCCTTTGGGGCCTCGGGGATTCTTGCGTTCTACGGCCCCGACCAGATCAGCCTCCATGGCCTCCTGCTTCCCTAGGTGCCCCTTTTTCTTTCTCTTAGGGAGGTGGGAGGCCGAGGCGTCGGGGGCCTCGTCCCTCCGTTTTCCCTTGGCGTCGCTGTCGGGGAAGATGGCACCGACGGCCTCCTCGCCCGAGGTGAAGTTGGTGGCGATATCGAGGAGCGCAGCAGCGGTGCGTGGCACGTTCCGACCTAGCTCCCGTACCAGGTCCCGGCAGGTGGTGCCGGAGAGGAAAGCCTGGACGATCTCCGAGTCGCCGACGCTAGGCAGCTCGGTGCACTGCTTGGAGAAGCGCCGGATGAAATCTCGAAGAGACTCGCCTGGTTTCTAGCGGCAGTTCTTAAGGTCCCAGGAGTTTCCAGGATGTACGTACGTGCCCTGAAAATTCCCAACGAAGACCCTAACCAAGTCGCGCCAGTCGTGGATCTGTGAGGGAGGGAGGTGCTCGAGCCAGGCTCGAACCGAGTCCGACAAGAGCAAGGGGAGGTTACGGATGATGAGCAGGTCATCATCTGTGCCACCTAGCTGGCAGGCCAGGCGGTAGTCGGCAAGCCAGAGTTCGGGGTTGGTCTCACCACTGTATTTCGCGAGGTTGGCTGGTTGCCGAAAACGGGCCGGGAACTGGGCGACACGGATAGCTCTGCTGAAGACTCGAGGGCCAGGTGGCTCAGGAGAAGGGCTACGGTCTTCCTTGCTGTCGTAGCGGCTACCTCGGTGCACATGGTAGCCTTGGGCGGGCCCCTCACCATCGTGGCGTCGTCATCGGCCAACCACCTCATGGTCTCCCTGCCCCTCGTGTTGATTATCGAGGCGGTCAAGGAGCACGGGGACCCTGTGAGCTATCGGTGCTCGAGCGAGTTCGGGACGAGCCGAGGCTTCCCTGTCCTGCCGAGGTGGTGCCGCGGGCAGGTTCAAGACGCCCCCATGCCGTCGGGAGGCAGAACTCTCGGCTTGCTGAACCGCGGCGGTCTCTAGGAGATCTCGGAGTTCGCCGCGGACCCGCCGCCCCTCCACGGTAGAAGGCTCAGGCATTGCGCGAACCAGCATCGCCGCAGCCGCGACATTCTGGCTAGCGTGATTGAAGATCGGGGGTTGCTCACTTCCTTTGTCGTTATGGATGCGGTGATGCACGTCCAGGGCCCTCCGTCGGGCTCCCCCGCCTTCACCGCGACCTCGCTGTTCCTGTTCGAGAGAGTCTCGAAGCTGCTGCAGAAGGAGTTGGTCTTGCTCGACCTTGGCCTAGAGCTCACGGAGCTGCTCTAGGTCTGGGCGCTGAGGTCGCGCAAGAGCGACGTTCTCATTTCGTGCGGTCGGCAAGACGGCGCGTGGAGGTGTAGCGACGCCCGCGCCGGGGCGGAGCGGGGAACGGCTACCTGCCCCCTCGTCCTCTTCGCCCGCCCTCGGCATCCCGAGCCCAACATGAAAACATTCGCGAGTGGGGTCGTAGGTGCCTTCGTCGTCGGAGTCGGAGTAGCCGAAGTAGTAGTCGCTTGCGGCCAAGAATTGGCGCAAAGCCCCAGGGTTGTGGAGTTCGGAGAAATCCACCCCGGGCCATGCCTCGTCCTCGTCCGAGGAGTCGGAGTGGGTGCTCAGGTCGAGAGCGAAGCGCTGGCGGCGTTCCGAGGGGTGCTCGTGAGTGGCTGTGTAAGCGTAGGCATAAGAGGCGGCGGCGTTTCTCAACCCAAAGGGGTATGGGGACGGCGCCGTCTCTAGATTCTGCTCCACCGGGGCCGGCTCTTCAGGGAGTGATGGAGCGGAGCTGGACGACTGGGCATCGCCGCGTGCCATAGGCAAGTCTCCTTTGTCCAAGCTCAGGCTAGACAGGTCCCCAGCCAGGGACCCTGTGCCAACAGCTGGTCGTAGGATATTGGCGGGGGGTGGCGTGTCGCCCCGGATTCGCGTAGCGTCGGGGTGGCCTTGTTCGTGCCGTGCAGTGCTTAGCAGCGCAGCGAGCGAGAGCCGCCGACGCCGCCGCCTGCCGCTGGCTGCGGGCGTAACTTCATCGTTGGTTGGTGGGGCTCGAGGGTGAGGAGCACCATGTCGTACTCATGCCCTAGAGACATGAACTCTAGGCTCCCGAACCAAACCACGGTGCCAAGACGCAATGGTCGTCGTGGTGCGCCATCCGAACTCTTTGGGATGATGGCCGAAACCGACACGCAGCTGCCCCTACTGGCGCGCAATCTGCGGTGTTTTTGCATCGGGGTCCTCAACCGACTAGTGAATTTGTTCTGCGTGCTCCCGATCCGGATGGTGATGCAAAGAGACACAAGGTTTATACTGGTTCAGGCAATCAAGGCCCTACGTCCAGTCTGAGAGATCGATCTTGTATTCCTTGCACCGAGGTGCTCGTAGTAGGGGGTTACAAGCTAAAGGAGAGAAGGAGCTGGTCCTAGGTCTCGGCGGGGTGTCGTGCGGGCCGCTTGAGACGTTGCTCTCAAGGCGGCGGGAGGTGTGTGTGTGTGTGTGTGTTACAAGGTGTCCCCCCTTAAAACAACCCAGGTCCTCTCCTTTTATAGCATGAAGGGAGGACTAGGGCGGTACATGAGCTAACTATACGGCGTCGTGTGAACAGAGGCGGCGTGTCCGAGCCCTGTAGCCTGTTCCTGTGGCGGTGTGGCCGTCGGAGTGGTCCATCCTTGGAGTACTGGGGCGGCGTGGTCATCCCATCAGATCCTGTGCGTCGTGGGAGCCCGGCAATGCCTGCCGGAGTGGGCCTTGGCGGCGAACGTGCAAGCCATGTGGGACGGAATGTGCGCGAGGCCGAGACTTGGTCGATGCCGAGGGCGGCCTCGCTGATGGTGGGGGTCTCGGTGAGCACGAACCCCAAGATCGCCGAGGCCTCGGTGTATGCGATCTTGAGGCCTTGAGCGGGCGGCCGATCATGAGTGCTGCGTTTGGACACAAGTGGTCGGTAATCCCCGTCGTACTGTCCCCAGCCGGTATGGCGCTGATCGTGAACACAGTGGTAGGACACGATGGCGGTAATCCCGTCGTGCCCCTGTCCCGGCGGTATGGCGCCGATCGTGGACACGAGTGGTAGGACACAAAGTGGCGGTAACCCCGTCGTGCCCTGTCCGGCGGTATGGCTGCTGATGCGACCTCGGGTCGCGTCGGTCATCTGTGGTGTTGAGCCACCGTCCATTTGAGATTGCGGGAGTGGTTGAAGCATTAATGAGACATGACGAGTTGTTGGGAGGGTCGGCCGAGGCGGGGCGACGGGACATGGACGAGCCGGCCTCGAGCGACACGGAGAATGAGGCCTCGCGAGGCGGAGATCGGGTTCCTTGCCGAGGCCTTGTGCGAGACGCCTCGCGCGATACGGAGAATGTACCCCTGCCGAGGCCTTCCCTAGATAGCCTCGGGCGAGACGGAGACGGCGCCCCCTGTCGAGGCTCGGTGCCCCCTACCGAGACCTACCCTTGGGAGCCTCGCGCGAGGCGGAGTTTGTTCCGAGACCTCCTGCTCGAGGCTCGAGGCGAGGTGGAGGAGGGCTCTTGCTGCAGGTGTGGGCCCACGGCTTACCTTCTAGCTTTATTTTGATGTTTGCTTGGAGTACCCCGTTATAAGGTACCCGACACATACATTTGCAATATTTAAGAGGGAGATTGAAATTTGGTTGATTCCGGCATTGGGGCACGAGCACCACCGGACCGCAGGTCACGCTCATGGGTGCCCTTGGCTCGACCTTGGGCCGACCAGAGGCGCGTGACGGTACCATGAGCACCAATGGATTTGGGCGGCGACCCGACGACGACGCTGGAGCGAGCGGCGCGAGGAGGCAGCAGCCTTGGTGGGATCTTGGGAGCAATGAGCGAGAGGCGCGGGTGGGTGCGTGCGACGGGCAAGAGCGAGAAACAAACAACACGGGGTGGGCCGTGTGCGGCGAGATGGCCGCGGCGGCAAATGTGGAGTGGAGCAGACGGACAGCCCATGGCTCCATGAAGCGTGCAATGGGCGAGGAAGTGGGTAGATATTTTTGAGAGGGGTAGACATGGGAGATGTAAGGAGGAGGAGGTAGGCTTGGTGGGCCGCGCAGGCCTAGGAAGGCGGCGTCCCATCGGATTTAACGCCATCCTTGAGCATTATAGTAGTTCTTTGTAGTGGTCGAGATAGTTAAGTTGCTAGTAGGGTTTTTTGACCAAGTTGGCTTAAGGTTGAGCATGTAGTTGAGTGGTGTACTCTCCTAGTTGGTGCTTTTTTTTTTTTTGACCCTGTTTCCGCTAAAAAAGAGGCTAACTTTTGTTTTTTATTTTCTTTGTTTAATATAAATCATAGCAAAGCTTTTGCGATCCCTTCTTACGAAGAAGTTGACAATAGTACTTAAGTAAAATGGATTTTTTCCCTTTTCCTTCGACACTGTACCGAGATCGAGGGGACACATGGAAACGAATTGCCTGAGGTCCGCTATTGCTGTTGGACTACTGGCGCTTGTGCTTCCACGTCGCTTCTCCTTGTGAAACCGCAAAACATTTCACCAAACTCTTGCCAATCTGCCATGCCACCTACTACTTCCTCCATGTTTTGACAGCTTTAAACATCGACAGCTCCTGCTGCTCGTTGTCGTCTTCATTGCCGCGGCGTACGATCCAACTCTCACACGGCCGCCGAACCCTACAGCACTCGTCAGTCTGTCGCTGCACTGACGCAGTCGCTCTCCAGCTCGAACGGCGGCTCAAGCACGCTCCTCCCATGGAACCACAGCAGCTGCGACTGCGAATTCTGGACACCGTGTGCCTGTCGCCGCCACCGGCCCCGGCGCAGCACGCGGCCCTCCGCTCTCCGGCCTCGACGCCGACCGCAACGCGCTCGACGTCACCTTCCGCACGCTCCGCTTCTTCCCACCTCCCCCGCCGTCCATCGACCCCCACGCGGTCCTCCCGCCCGCGTTCGAGGCCGCGCTCGGTCTCTTCCCGGCGCTCGCGGGCCGCCTCCGCGACGGCCACGTCGTGGTCGGCGCTGGCACCGTGCCCATCGTCCTCGCGGAGTCCGGTCTGTCGGCGGCCGACGTCGACACCGACTGCCCCGGCTCGCCGCTGCTCGACCGCCTCGCGCCGCCGGGGGACGGCGACGCGGGTACCCCGGCGCTCGCGCTCCAGGCCACGCGGTTCGCGTGCGGCGGCGTCGCGCTAGGGATGCGGGTGGCGCACGCGCTCTGCGACGGCGTGGGCGCCACCAAGTTCCTCGCCGCCGCGGCGCTGTTCGCGCGGGGGCAGGGGCCGCCGGAGGTCGCGCCGGTGTGGGAGCGGCGGGAGCTGCTGGGGCCGAGGCGCCCGCCGCGCGTCGCGACGCAGGTGTTCGACCGCGTCCTCGCGCTCGACGGTGGCGTCGCGCGGTGTGGGCCGTACGGAGCCGAGGGTGAGTGGCGCGAACAGCAGCGGCAGCTCACGAGGGAATGCTTCCACGTGAGCGACGCGCGCGTGGAGGCGCTCAGAGCGCGGATCGCCGACGAGGCTGGCGTCAAGCTGACGACCTTCGAGGTTGTCGCCGCGTTCATCTGGCGCGCCAGGTAAGCACACCTCCACCACCTGTCGGAGAATTCAGATCGCAGCAAGATGCTCACCGTGCTCGTGGATCGGCGACCAGGGTCAAGGCAAACGGTACCAGCTCTGGCGAGGTGGTGAAGATGGTGTACTCCATGAACATCAGCAAGCTCGTCGACCCGCCGCTCCCCGACGGGTACTGGGGCAACGTGTGCGTCCCGGTGTACGTCGCCCTGGCCGCCTGCGACCTCGTCGCCCAGCCACTGGCGGCAACCGCCGCCCTGATAAGGAAGAGCAAGCAGGCCGTGGACGACGAGTACGTGCGATCCTACGTCGACTTCCAGGAGCTGCACCGCCACGACGGGATCACGGCGGGCACCGTGAGTGCGTTCACGGACTGGCGGCGGCTCGGCCACGGGGAGGTGGACTTCGGGTGGGGCGGGCCCGACTCCGTGCTGCCGCTCTCGTGGAGGATCCTCGGGAGCACGGAGCCGTGCTTCCTGCTGCCCTACGGCGCGGGGGATGAGCGGCGGCGGGGAGGGTTCAAGGTGTTCATCGCGCTGCAACGCACGGCGGTGGCTGGTTTCAGAGAGGAAATGCAGGAGCTGCTGTTGAAGCCGCAGCAGCAGAACTCAGCGGGAAAGCTGTGAACTTGTTAGAGATACGGGAAACAGAATTATCTGCATCAAATTTGAATTTAATCCTAATCTGGATTGAATAAATAGTTATCAAATATACATACGACTGATTTCCATTTGATCCTAATGTTATGGACAGAGAACGAACTTACATTTTGTTCCAATAAGACCTTCCATTCAAGCAGATAGCCAGGCAAGTCTTATTACAACAGCACAACAATGAATAACAGAGATCCTAGTCCTAACCAAAACAATTCTCATCAGATATGTTGTATGTGCGCAATCGCTCAAACCAAGCACATTCTAGATTGGACACTCCTCGTCCCATATCACCGTAAAACAAAAACGAAGACATACAAGTATGAGTGATAAACACGAGAGGACTTCACAAGATGTAGTATCTTACATGATCACTAACCATTTTCACAGCAGCAAGCTTCATGCGCTGACCGAAGGAGCCACTTTCTGCTGCGGCTTTTTCTCTTGGCTCCCCTTCATATCCTTGGGCTTTGGTTTTGGAGGAGTGCCAGCTGCCTTTGCTCTCTGCTCCTTCGGTACTGGTTTCTTCTGATCAGAAGAAGGCGACGGTGATGGCTTCTGATCAGTAGGAGAAGGTGAAGGTAATGGCTTCTTTTTAGGGGCTTTCCGGTCATTGATATTGTTGCTTAGGGTAATAGAGCCTTGCAGCTTGAGAGCTGATGGGTTTGTGCTGCTGTTCTCCTTCTTTGCCTGCGCTTTCTTCGGGTTCTCAGGATGGACCAAGGATCGCGGCTCCCATGGTCGTACTGCGATCCAGCGGTCCATCCAACTCCAGCCCCAGCCACCCTTGCCGACTTCATAGCTGAAGTTTCCAAGACTTGTGGCAGACCTTGCTCTCCACTGCCAAAGGGTAAAGTACATCATTGTCTTCACACTGTTAGGTGCACTAATAATGCTGCTCTTCTCTTAACAAATTATGAATGGGTTCAGAGTTAAGCCATGTGTCCACATTTTAAATGGAAATTTGATTATTATATATTAATTTGAATCTTAAATGTGGTTTTCTATAATAGAATGAGTTACAACATCAGAATTACTGAATTAGTAAGTTTAAACCTGATGGTTGAACGCGTACGCCATGGCTCGCTCACGTTTCACTGCTGCTTCTTCCCGTTGTTGTATCCTAGCAAGTATTTCATCCATAGTATCTGAACCTCCATTCCATTCAACCTAATAAAAGATGGGAACAAACGAATAAAATGCAATGTCATCAGATAAAAATGATTAGTTTCTCTAGTATAGTTACTTGATGAAAGGGTAAGCAAAAATAATTTACAAGGAAAATGGCTCTTGGGCTTAAAACTTAAAACTCACCTGCAAATTATGGAGTTTTGCCTCAAGTTTCATTTGGTTCTCCTGCTTCTTCTTCCTGTTGCGCCCTTCGGTGACCATGAAAGCACGCTGGTTTCTTATCTCTGATTGCAACTTGTTCCAAGACTGTATGTAACTCAGCGTGGCAGCAGTCTGCTTCTTAACCGGATTCGCCTGACCGACAACACGCAATCTTTTGACTCCCCTGAGACAACGCAGGGTCTTCCTTGCCTGCATGTAAGTAATGAGCAGTACCATAAAAGGTATCAATTTGTTTGCAAAATATCTCAATTCAGTAGTCAATGTAACGGTAGTGCAATCCATATCATCCATGATTCATGTTACCCTGTATTTCCGAAACGCATTCTGAATGCGAGTAGCAGCCCATTCCTCTAGTGCTGCATTGTCTTCATGGTCGTCACTACTGGAAGAAGGGCCATTTAACTTCTGATTTGTCTGGTTGCCTCCATTTGTTACGTGACCAGAGAGCTTCATTGGCAAAAGGAAATATATGAAAACGGCTGGAAGTTTTTTTTTTGATGGAACAAAACGGCTGGAAGTTAATAATCATTGGCACAATATTCTCTCAACACATTCATTGAACAATATTCGTCAGTTAATGTAGCTATGGGTGCATATAATTCTTAGGTAGCAACAAAAAATAAACCATCGTGTCAACTAGTAGGACTAGTAAAGTTTCATTAGGTCACCTGACCTCTGAATATTGATATAGGCAGAAAGAGTCATGAAGGATCAGTTCAGTTGTAAAAATTACTTTGGCTAGCCAGTCCAAGTCCAAAAAGAGTTGAACATAACAACTCTCAGTGGACTTCGGTAGAATCAAACAAAAACTGCAGACATTCCTAATAAATGATAAACACGGGTTCTTATAGGGTGCCATGCAGACCACATAAAGCAACATAGAAGAAAACAAGAAACCGTGACATAACCAGTAAACAACTCAACTATTCAAAGAGAAAATATATTTAGCATATTCAGTTAATCATTACCCAAGTAAAAATTTCTGATCTCCAAATTTTTATGTAGGAAGAAATGACAATTCGAAATTGCATCACAGATCGATTCATTAGTCAAATTATTCCGAATGGCCAATTCAGATTCAAAGGTGAGACTTAAAGATAACACATCTTACTGAATTTCAGCAACTGAATCAAACAGAAAACGTTGTCAAATGCCAGATCACATCCTAAAGCAATACCGGAGAAAACAAGCAATGGGTTATGGCACTGCCTAGTAAACAATTCAACTATTCAAGGGAAAAGAATGCTTTGATATTTAGCATATACAATTAGTCATTCCAAGTAGAAGATTTATGATTTCCTGCTGTCAGTTGATGGGCCCAATTAGGAGCAACCAAGTACACCCATATATGCAGAAAGGTCTTATCCTGAAGGTAGCACCTAACTGGCTAACTCTAACAAGTCAGCATCATTAACCTTCCATTATTGCTACCAACAAACCAAGCTTTCCTTACAGCCCAACTTTCTAATTATGATTAGCACAAGCACAGCAACAGTACACCTAGTTGGCTCAGATGATAGTGTGTCCACTTGCCCTGGCCATTCCTAATGATGGAATGGAATGAATGGCATCACTTTTCAGGTTGCTTGGAGGGCATGCAAGGCAAGCTGGTGTACAGGACATCCAGGACAGGAGGGGCTTGGAAAATGGGTTAGAAAGGCTACCTTTTTTTTTTAAATTTCTCGAGTCTGGCAAAGAAAGGAAGGAGGATGATGGAGTGTACCTTTGCGTGCTTTGACTTTGCCCGTTTCGATTTTTTCTTGCTGATGATTGTCTTGAACCAGTCCCCAGACCCCATGGCTTCAACGGGGTTGCTGGTTGCACCACAGAGATCAATTCGTATTCAGGTCCGCTTGCTTAGATCACAAGGAAAACGAAGGGGAATAAATTAGCTAGTATGTTTTGTTTAAAAAATTGCAAAAGAATAATGACTCCACGTGATGGTGCAACATGCGTTGATCACAGTCACAGCGCAGAAAATAATTACAGATGAAGCAAGTCTAGTGCCTCGTTCTGAATCTCTCTAAAACTCTGATTCTATGCCTTGAGTAAAAAAGCAAAAACTTCTTGAAGTAAACAAGCAGTCAAAGTATTTCTGATTCTGAATATCTACAAGAAAAATTACTAATAACCATGAGACATGAACTTTCTTTTGGTGACAATCTCCAGAAAACTGTATTGAGACAGGCACTTGGTCAAATTGAACAAGAATGGACACCCAAGTTAAATCGAACAAGATGAGTAATAAAACGGAACTCAAGAACCCTCTGAAATCTTTCACAACTGGTAAGGTTCCTGCAAGAAAGGTTGCGGCTTTCTCCTTCTTACCTGACCAAGAAGACCAAACCCCAGGGGAAAAAGCCCATGGCTGCTCATCGAATCATCTGTTCATCCATCGGAGGACAGAGAAAGCAGGCACCCCTCGTAAACCCAGAGCAGAACCAGACCAAGAAGAAGAAGGGAAGGAAGCCCAGGACAAGGGAACAGAGGAGCAGAAACTAAGTACCTGAGTTTCAGAGGAGGGCTGTGACCTAGCCTGAATCCGATCAGGAGTAGCTGTCAGGTGGTGGGGAGAAGGCAGCAGAGGTCGGAGGTCAGAGACGGGAGGCACCCATCGGAAGCAATGGATCTCCTTCCTCTCCAGCTTTCGGAGAGGGAGGGGAGGGGAGGGGGGTGAGAGGAGGGAGGTGGTGGGAGGGAAGGTGGAAAGGTGCAGGGCTGGAGTTAGATATAGGTCCAGATCAAGTCCCTTGTCCAATTGCTCCCACGTTACTTTTTATTTACTCGTGGCTCCCCCCCCCCCTCCTCGGCCACTGACCCACTGACTTGCTGACTTTCAATTCAATTACTGCGTGATTGCAGTGTTAGTGGCAACTTTTTTACAGTAAAAAAATGGGGACAGGAGGCAGCTTCACCTTGACTTCTCCTTAATGACCCACTTGGGAAGAGCAGCAGGATTGAGACAGCAGTTGTGTTTTTTTTTACTATTGAACTAGTATTGTTCACTCATGCAAAGAAACCTGAGAAATTCGTCTCGGTCATAATGTCTCTTTCGGAGGATGTCCTCCGCCTCTCGGTGTCCGGTTGACGCGAGACGACGAGTTCTGCATCGTGAAGTCGGAGCTGCTGCATCAGGGATGTAGCTCGGCAACGATGACGCGGGTCGAACCCTCCTTCTCCGACGGCTGGGTTTCAGCTTTAGAGGCTCGGCAATCGCCGCGGGCAGGGCGTGGGATCAAGGCAGGAAGTCGGAGCTGCTCTTCGTGAAGCCGTTGAGCTCGGCGACAATGATCTGTTGCAGCCTCCTGCTTCGGACCCGTTGATCTGACATCTTAGGATGAGTCGTCGGTGTTTTGCCATGGGAAGTCGGAGCTGCTGGCTGCCTTGCAACCATGCTCGGCAACGATGACTCACGGTAGTGTGTCCTCTACCACGTTGCGTGGGTGGGCTAGCCTTTCGTGGTGTTTGGCGCCATACTTGGCTACCTTTTCTTGTATATAAACTTCATTCGTCTTAACTGAAAGGCAGAGCTCCTGCCATTGTTTAAAAAAAATAGAGGTACTAATTGGCAGGTAATGGTCCTGGCACTTCTCATCTCCTGGCTGGTGAATGGTGAACAGCAACTCTAGGCCAGTGGTGACTGTTCACCAGCGGGCAATCTTGAAGCTCTCCCAGGTTTAGGATGGGCATTTGCATTTGCATTACAAGACTCTGCTGGACCATCTTCAGAGGCACCAGGCTACAGCAGAGCATATGTCATTCGCGTTCGAGATCAGAGGTGCAGATCAGACTTGCAGTCAAGACTGCGATCGGCCATCCTTCAGAGGTTGCAACAATGCAGTGCAACCGACCGCAACACACATGTCGTCGTTCTGGTCCCAAAAAGTAGAAATGGATAGTTTTTTCCCTGTTCTGGACCTGAAGAGTAGACTGAAGAAGTCTACAATGTGTACACAACAAAACAACACTGCCTTTTTTTCCCCTGACGACCATTGCTGTCCGGGCGCAGTGACTTGACCAGCTCCAGCCTCCAGCTGCGAACCCTTTAACCCACGCAGCACGGCGGCCAGGTAGTTCTGCTCTGAAATCCCCTGGAGAAGCTGCCGAAAAAAGGAAGAGGGACGCGACGAGCACGTTGGGCTGGCTGGGCTAGTCTCCAACGGTTGGTGCGCTGGTGTTGTTCCCTTCCCCTGCCTCACAGCCTACACCAACAGCGACGCGGGAGCTAATCACTGGCCGCGCCTGGTCCGCCGGTGAATCGGTGATTGGCCGCACGTCTGCTGATGCCTTGCTGCAGCCAACTACACGCTTCCTTCCTGCAGGAAACCGGCCGTTTTTGGCCCCCTAGACGAGACGACAATAGGCGCCATAGGTTAAGCTAAACTGAAGCCATGCAAATGCAATGCAGATGCAGGGGGGTTGGTTGTTTGCGTGTACTGTCGTGGAGAGACAGCACGTCGAGATCGGCGTGTCTTTGTACGATTATGGTGGTGAGTAGTGACGAGCCATGGCGATGAGTGCAATGCAAGGTAATGCGACCGTCTCTGGTTGATGTGCGCATGATGTGTCATCAGAATCTTCGGAAAAATGATACCTCAGCAGCCGAAAAAGGCGGGTACAGATGAGAGCAACTCGTGCAGTGCAGTTCATCAACAAATAAAAGAATCAGATGGTGCATTGGTTAACTATTAATGTATGAGAAGTACTACACATTTTCTTTTTTAAAATACGATGTTCTCCTTTAGTCGAAGATAAGTGCCATTGTTTTGTTCTAAAATAATGTGCAGCCAAACTATTCTATTGGTTGAACTTGTAGTGCAGGACCACCCAGATTTCAGTCCTAGTGCCTGTTTAGTTCTCAAAATTTTGCAAAATTTTTCAAGATTTCCTGTCACATCGAATCTTTGGACACATGCATGAAGCATTAAATATAAATAAAAAATAAAACTAATTACACAGTTTAGACGAAATTCACGAGACGAATCTTTTAAGCCTAATTAGACTATGATTGGACACTAATTGCCAAATAACAACAAAAGTGCTACAGTACCATTTCCAAAAAATTTCGCCAACTAAACAAGGTCCTAGTTAAGAAATGCTACATTTTGAAGGCTGTTAAGGTATGTTTAGTGATGATATTTGCCCCGTGTCAGAGCATGCCATGTCATCTCAACTGCTCAAGTGATGGCCACGTTGGATGAACCGGCAGTGCCGTAGTGGCAATGCCAAATTGAACCGTGCACCTATCAGATTGGTCGCTAGACAAGCGTATATTTCGAAATTACCCCCTGGAAACTGGCAAATTTCAGGTTGAGTCCTCCAATCTTTGGGTTAAAAAGTTGGTGCTATTTTAGGTGTAGATTTTTCATGCTCTCCCCATACAGCGTAAAGAGCTCGCCGAACAATGAATTGGAGGAACGAGATCGTCTGAAGTCGGTCTTTGCGACAGCTCCCGGCAGTCACTCCATCGCAACCGTCCGCTGCCATCCAATGGAGCAGCTGAGTCTAAGCACTATGCCTCGTTCGCACGTTGGGGTGGTCCAATAACACGGCCTGTTAAGCCTAAAAAGCGCAGCAGACACAACCCCCCTCTACCGAGAGCTCCCCATGGATAGGAAAATCGCGATCGCCGTCTTCTGCTCGAATTTCGTGCCGTCGCCATCCCGTCGTGGAGAGTCGCGCCGTCGCCATCCTGAAAGTGCATCTAGCCCTTTAGTGGGTTTTGGATGATTGAATGACAACGTGATTAAAGGTCTAACCCGTTTGCTAAGTGTGGACAGCTAATAGGTTATCTCACAGGTACTTAATGAAAGCCAAAATGATGTATTGTTGTATAAACAATCTAGTCCAAGCACAAGATAACAATGCAAAAGGAATTCATACAAAGGCTTAATTATTGTGGGATTTTCATGTACTATGTGAAAGCAAGCTTGTGAGAATTAATTAATAAGACATAAGGGATTGCATATGGAATGGTCTCATATTTGAAGCTTGCTAAATTGAAATGAAAAAGATAACAATACATGAATAAATGATTCAACACAAGATGTGACTTGATGGCTTGAGATGGTAAAGATAGCAAGGAAAGGCTTCGAGGTACTAAGCAAGGGTGAAGGGCAAGCGACGGCTTGACAACCAAAGAACCTAGCTATGGTGAAGAAGGAAGTACTTGCATTTAGTTGAGGTACTAATCAAGCTATGATGGCCATGTTTATGTGGAAGATCAAATCACTCTTGGAGTGTTTGATGGAAGTGACTTGATACATTTGGGATTATTCAAATTTGATGAATAGAATCAAGTCACGTGCTCAAGATGGCTATGCTCAAGTGAAAAAGATCAAAGTTGACATGTTAGCACCCTCACTTGATCAAGATTGGAATACACGGCTTCGGTTGAAAGAGAACAACTCAAAATGTTTAAATTTGTTATACATTTGAATTTGAGTTAATAGGAATGCCGTACTATCAAGATGGATGCATCATGTTGATAGATAATGTTTCATAAGTGCTCAAGCCAACCCATGTGAGTTTTGAGTATTTGAGCGACAAAAGAGCTAACTGATTTCTTGCTGGTCTGGCAATACCGGACGTATCCGGTATTCATACCGGACGTGTCCGGTATTTACCCAACAGTTATAAAATTGTTGTTCTCAGGTTGGTTCGTTGGGAGTTCCGGCAACGGTCGGGAGTTCCGACGTCTCGCGTATAACTGACTTGGAAGAGTTCACTACCTTGGTCATACCGAACGTGTCTGGTATGGATGGCCAGAGGCCAACGACTAGTTTTCAAATGCCTTGAGGATCAGGAGTTCCGACGTGAGTCGGGAGTTCCGACGGTCAGAAGTTCCGGCATGAGTCGGGAGTTCCGACACCTCATATTCTTTAACTCAGTTACATGGTTTTCAAATTTGCTGAGGGTCGGGAGTTCCGACGTGAGTCGGGAGTTCCGGCATTAATCGGGAGTTCCGACGCCTCACATTGTCTCTGTAACTTAGTTACCGTTGGTGCAGTGTAAGTCATACCGGACGTGTCCGGTATTGCAACGGCTATAAAACGGCTAGTTTTTCAAGGGGGGTTATAAATATCCCCAAGCCTCCACCTTTGGAGGCTGCTGATGCTGCTGAGATAGACACGTTTTTGAGCCTTGCCAACTCTCCTAAACCCTCTCTTAGTGAGTGTGTGATCCAAATTGCAAAATCAATTTGTGGGTTAAGAGAGAATTTAAAAAAGAGAGCAAGCCACCACTTGAGCACTTGTGCATATTGTCAATCTCGTGATTCGCATTTGTTACTCTTGGACTCTTCGGTCCTAGACGGCTAGGCGTCGCCGGAGAGCAACCGAGAGATTGTGGTTGCTTCGGAAGTTTG